GGCCTATTCTGTAATAAATTTTAGCAATATCGAATGTTGTTAAAAGTTGCATAATAGATCTACAGGAGGGATTCTCTTAAAATCTCTGGAGCTCTTCTTATGGATGAACTGGAGGTATTCTTATAGAAGAATAGGAGCTCTTCTTTTCGAAGACCTGGAAGTATTCTTATCGAAAGCCTGGAGCTCTTCTTGTCGAAGGTCTGTAGGTCTTTCTTATCGGGCTTGTTATCCAAGCCCTGAAGGTGTTCTTATCGAAGACCTGGAATTCTTCTTTTCGAACGGATTCTTCTTATCAAAGACCTGCATCTTTTCTTATAGAAAAGCTGGAACTCTTCTTATCGAACAAAATGTTCATATCAACTTCACGTTCTGCATCCTAGAAATACGGGCTACCACATGATTTACTACACATAAAAAGCTCTAAAAAAATATATATATACCTACAAAAGACTCAAAGACTTTTGATTTAAATTGATAATCCGTATAAATCGTTGATTTACACTCCAATTATTTGCCCATTTCCCAAAGTACTCAAATCCATTCATAACAGTTTTACACACCCAAAAAATAACCCTCAAAACAAATCCATTAAATCATTAATAAACAACAAATTTTATTGGCTAATTATAATGGTAATTCTATTTTGGTAATATTATTTTGAACATTAGCCCAGGATATTAACGGCAAATTTGCTGGCACAATTTCAGGCGAATAATAGCGGAAGATACAAACAAACGAACGAAAAAAGGCAGAGAATCGAATGAATGTTATAAATTCTCATAAAATTCCAGTTAAGCAAAATTGATGATGTTGATTTTAGTGGCATTACAATTCGTTTTGTGTCTTCTTTTTCAACAGAACACACACACATCGAGTTCTCACACACACTCATGCACATACACATGTATTTGGTTTTAGCTGTGAAAAGTAGCCAAAAATTGATATGCCAAAATGAAAATCAAAGTAATTTGGCAAGGATTTTTATATCTGGCCAGTATTGCCGATTCCGTTGTTGGGGATTCGATTGTTGTATTCCAACACCCCCACCCCCCTCCATCACCCTTGGCACCATTTCCATGGGGAACAATAACCTCTTCTTGTTGAAAAGTCGCAAATATTAATAAAAATAAAAATCACAATAATACTACAGAAGGCAACAAAAAGTGACACCAAAAATGAAAGACAAAAACAAATAAACACAACAAAAAGAAAATCATCATAAAAATGGAGTAATAAAACACGAATTGTCATCAGATTCTAAATTACAAATTTGAATATTAATAAATCATAAAAATTCTACAAATTGTGGGTCATAAAAATCAGAACCAAGATCAAGAAATAAGTAAAAAAAGAACAACAAATAAACACAGGCATAGATTTATAGGTTCCAACCCACCCACTATTTGATTTCCAAATGAAATCCTGGAAAATTTCTTGAAAATTTGTTTTCTTTTAATAATCTGAAAATTTTACATCGGCTTTACAAGGGGAATTTATAACCCCCCAAAAATTGTGTTGATGATGGAAAATCTTCTCGAACATAAGTTTAGGAGTTTTATGACCATATTGACATGATGATTTTTAGTATCTGCCTCCCGCTGACCATAACAAAATTTTATTGTTTTCGTAATAAATCTAATATTTTTAGAAAACTGAAGCATAAAGTCAAATATTTTAATTGCATAAGAGAGCATCTCAATGGGTGTTGGGTGCCTTATTGAAAACAGAAGTGGGAATATTTGCAACATGAGCTACATTTTTTACAGAATACATATACATGGACTTTTATTTATTACATCAGGATCATGCACTTGTATGGATTTATTAAAAATATATATTCCAAACCACCCAAAAACGAGCATCTTATTCCAGAACCATTCATAAAGGTCCATACATAAGACAAAGATTTTTTCAAGACCCTCAAGGTTTCTTTAAATTTTTTCAAATGCCATTACAAGGCATGAACGAAAATACTTTTTCAAAAACCTTACAACGCGTGGATTTTATAAAAATATTTTTCCAAGTAACTTCAAATATTTTTCAATAAATTTCAAATATTTTTTTAAGAAAATATTTTCTAAGACCGTCATACAGTGGAGGCATGAATTAAAAAATACTTTTTCAAAAACCTTACAATGCTTGGATTTTATAAATATATTTTTTCCAAATAATTTCAAATATTTTTTTTAAGATAATATTTTCAAAGACCGTCATACAGTGGGGATTTTTTCAATACTATTATTTCACGGATTAAATAAAAAACAGAATCACTTTTTAACTCGATTTATGCATGTCCTGTCTGTCCATGTTAAATTGTAAACAAAGTACAGGCCGCATTTATGATCCGAATAGAATGAAATTTGGCATAGGTCATTTATTTGACCTAAGGGCGAACCCTATGAAATTGGGAAAAATCGGCCCGGATTTAGATATAGCTACCATGAACATTTTCGTCCGATTTAATGTAAATGGTGAACCAAAGTCCCTATAAATATTTCGATTTGCACGAAATTTGGCATAGCGTACTGAATTAACGCTCGAATGATGTGTGCTAAGTTTCGTGAAAATCGGTTCAGATCTAGATAAATCTCATATATATTTTAGTCCGGTTTAATGTGCATCAATGTCCCTATATATCTGGTGAACCAAAGTCCCTATATATTTTTCGATTTGCACGAAATTTGGCACAGCGTACTAAACTAGATATAGAATGATGTGTGTTAATTTTCCTGAAAATCGGCACAAATTTAGATATGTCTCCCATATATATTTTCGTCCGATTTTATGTAAATGGTGTGCCAAAGTCCCTATATATCTTTCGATTTGCACGAACTTTGGCACAGCGTACTGAATTAAGTCTACAATGATGTGTGTTAAGTTTCCTAAAAATCGGTCCAAATTTAGATATAGCTCCCATATATATTTTCGTCCGATTTAATGTAAATGGTGTACCAAAGTCCCTATATATCCTTCGATTTGCACGAAATTTGGCTTAGCTTACTGAATTAAGTCTAGAACGATGTGTGTTAAATTTCATGAAAATCGGTTCAGATTTAGATATAGCTCATATATATATATATATAGATATTTTAGTCCGATTTTATGTAAATGGTGTACCAAAGAAAGATCTTTCGATTTGTACGAAATTTGGCACAACGGAATGATTTAGGTCTAGAATGATGTGTGTTAAGTTTCCTGAAAATCGGCCCAGATTTTGATATAACTCTCATATATATTTTCGTCCGATTTAATGTAAATGTTGTATAATAGTCCCTATATATCTATATCTATATATCGATTTTCACGTAATTTTGCAAAGCGTATTGAATTAAGTCTGAAATTATGACTGGTAATTTTCGGAAAAATCGGTTCAGATTTTTATATAGCTCCCATATATTTTTAGTCCGATTTTATGTAAATGGTGCACCAAAGTCCCTGAATGTCTTTCGATTTCCACGAAATTTGGCATAGAGTACTGAATTGAGCCTAGAATAATGTGTGTATAGTTTCGTGAAAATCGGTTCAGATTTAGATATAGCTCCCATATATATTTTCGTCCGATTTTATGTAAATGGTGCACCAAAGTCCCTATATATCGTTTTCCAAAAAATTATCCCACGGTATAAATCTGCCCGAATAAAATTAAGTTTATCATAGGTTGCAGAAAAACATGAGCATATTGCTTAACCTCCCCACGTCGAAAAAACTTTAGCTTTTTACCCTTTTTTATTAGCCCGCAGAATTATATGAAATAACACGAATGTGAAATATGATGATGTTGTAGAAAAAAAAACAAGTAACAACGACAACAACAACCTCAACAAAATAATAATAATAAAATTGTTTATTTGTTCTAAAAACCTTGTTTCCATCTGTAATATTTTTTCTCTTCAACTGCAAATATTTGTATTTACAAGATTTTTATTTATTTTTGCCCGACATAATATAAACCCGAACAAACACACACATACCGAATGACGCGTAATACACATATACGCACATAAATGCAAATAAATATCTAACATTTGACTACTCGTAAAAATTCGCAGACACATAACTACAAATATATGTGTGTGTATGTGGTGGTTTCTCTACGAATAAAATAATGTAAATGTATGTGTATGTAATAAATGTAATGATGTTCCCACAAACACACACTCACACTACAGTTGGATAGGTGAATACAATTTTGTGATCTATGAACCCACATTCATGTACTTCGTCGGTGTAACCATTATTCCACACATATATGTGTGTGTATGTATGTACGTATATTATTATTTGTATTAAACCAGAAAAAAGCAACAACAAAACCAATTATTTCGTTGCTGTTTTCTCCCGAATGTAGAAAATTGCATCGAATTCTGCTGACAGACAAAAGTAATATTTTGGTGGAATAATATACAATTGTATTTGCATCACTGGTCCTAACATTTTTGTGATGTTTATACGAACGATTTTGAAGGGGGAATGGTCTGATACTTCTTCCAAACAACTGTTCGAAATATCTATTGAATACATTTAGAAGTTTCATCCGATATAGAAACCCATTTTCAATCTAATAAAGATCTGGCAGATCTTTTTGTAAAAGTACTGCTAAGAGTAATTTCTCCATAGAAACCTCCCTCTTAACATTCCCGCAGAAGCACTTTACTCTGTATAAGACCTGCTGAATATCAGATTAAGTTTTTCTATCAATGGAAATTTAATTTTATGCTAATATACATACGTTTTACAACACACCTCATATGAATCATTTGACATTCCTATTTTTTACCTAACTGCCATTTCAAAAAAATACCAAACCGTTTTATAACAAGATTTTCAAAATGTAAGTCCTTCCTGCCTTTAAATAATCTCAAATTATCTTCATCCTCATACCCTGCAGGTGTCTGATAAGCAAGCCATTACGCGGAAAAATTGGAAAAGCCTTTATCGATTGTCTAAAATCTCAACTTTGTCCGAGCACAAAAGCCAACCCATCAGGAAAGTCGATAAAAATGAAAATAATTCCAGCACCTCCAAGTCAGGCGAAAACCTATCAACAAAAGAATGAAGATCTCAAGAGGGTTCTCTCACCCCACCTGACCATCTATAAACCACAATTGACATCAATGATGTCCATTTCATTACGTATGACCGGTTTCGCTTTGGGCATAATGACCTGGACTGTGGGCTTGACTTCCCTGTTGAGTGATCATAATGTCGATTATTTTGTGGATAAGCTGAGAGCATTGAATTTGAATCCGAATTTTTGGACCATCGCTAAAACTGTAATAATTTTTCCGTTCTGCTTTCATTTTGTTGCTGGAATACGTCATTTATATTTCGATACTGCTCATCTGATGAAAATTAAACAATTCTATCGTACCGGTTATCTGGCAATGACATTATCCTGCTTCATGACATTGGCACTGGGAATGTGGAATCAAGTGAATGCTGTCAGAGAGGCGAATGATGTTAAATGATAATTCCAATTAATATTTTCATTTATTTGAACAAAGAGTAGACATACATATCCATTTTTAAACATTTTTAGACCTTAAAAATTATTCATTTAAAATCTACGCATTCTATAGGACCTTGAAAAAATATGTTTAACAAATCCACGCCTTCTATAGGACCTTGAAAAAATGTGTTTAACAAATCCACGCCTTCTGTAGGACCTTGAAAAAATACCTTTAACAAATCGACGCCTTCTATAGGACCTTGAAAAAATATTTTTAACAAATCCGCGCCTTATATAGGACCTGGAAAAAATATGTTTAACAAATCCACGCCTTCTATAGGACCTTGAAAAAATATGTTCAACAAATCCACGCCCTTATAGGACCTTGAGAAATATGTTCAACAAATCCACGCCTTCTATATGACCTTCAAAAAATATTCTTTAACAAAACCACGCCTTCTGTAGGACATTGAAAAAATATTTTAAACGAATCCAAGGCTTGTGTGGGTGGGTCCTTCAAAAAATATTTTTAACTAATCTACGCCGATTCCTTGAAAAATATCCTTAATCCTTAAAATACAAATCCTTTAAAACAAAAAATATTCCTTAAAAGTTCACTCCTTTTGTTGATCCTTGAAAAAATATTTTTTAAAGAATCGTAAGGATTTTCCATCCATTGTAGCGGATTTTCCTTATGGAAAATCAAGATAACTTTACCATATCCCTTGATAAAAACAAGTCCTTTACATACCATTCATACAAATTAATTCCATAGTAGCAGATTTTTCCTTATGGAAAATCAAGATACCTTTACCACATCCCTTGATAAAAACAAATCCTTTACATACCTTTCATACAAATTAATTCCTCTTCTCCATTTTTGTTGCTGTAAATATTTCCGCTGAAATCGGAACCAAGGTTATTTAATATTCTACTTTAAAACTCAAACATATGTCAGTCGGAACAAAATAAAACAACAAATGCCTGGAAATGCCTTCTGAATGTGATGGCCTTTTGTGGAATGTAGTCTCTCTTTTCGGAACAGATTTTTGTTGCTGGCTGTGGGGCTGCTTGTCTGTCCGCCTGTTGGTTGGTTACTGTGTTTGCACACATGTGTGCAACACAATGACAATTCCATGAGATTTTTTCCAAATTAACTTTTCATTTATTTATGATGTTGCCCTTTTTTCACGGCGGATGATGATGGTGATGTTTACCACTATTTCGGGTTCCGTTTTACTCTTCTCTGATATTTTCCCAATTTTTTTGTATTTTTATTTCATTTTTTGTTGTCGTTGTTGTGCTTTGACACACTTGTCCTCTTTCTATAATGTCATATATTTAAGTGTAAATTTTACAAAACTCCAACAAAAACGCTACATGGTGTTCACAATTCAGGACCTGCAAAATGTGTTACCTGCCAGCAGTGTGTGTTCGTGAGTGCTTGGTATTTGGTTTTCGATTTTTTGGTACTCAGCACAAAGTGTCCATCACCAAATGTTGGCATCATATCCTTGCCATAAAGCATGACTTTACGCCCAACACAAGAATACACAGAGACAACGCCAACACCAGTCGCACACACACACACACACCCGCACACCGAGGGAGAGCCAACAACTGTTGAGGATGTGTGCTTGTGGCAGGAAACGGAAATGAAGCAAAAATATTGTTCACATTTAAATAACCTGACAACTGTTACGTCGAACAGGCAACCGGGCAGGCAGGCTCACCTTTTACCAAGGCAAGCGGGACCATTGTGGCAACCAAATGCTACCGGACCCAAGTGAAGGTGTTGGTAAAAAAATCTGCCGAAAAAAAAAACACCCAAGATATTGCAACATCGCCAAAGAAATAGCCCGGAAAGGTAATACCAAGAAAATGATCAAAAGAGATGAGAAAAAAGAAACGGGACGCATAAAAAACGAACATAGACCCCTCTCCAAAAATACACAAATCACGTACACACGTTTGTAACTATGGTTGACCAAATATCGGGCAATATACTGACACAAGAACGGAAAACACACACAAAACGAAATGAAAGAGTTTTGTTATATTTGTGTAGTGCACCAGAGCTATTCGTATTTATGTGAGTATGTCGGAGGGTGTGTGTGCGTTTTTGCATGTGTCCATAAACTGACACACACACACGCATATCGAGGATATTCGTGCATAACTGATATCCCAAGATGTGTTACATGTTAAAAAGCTTGCTCTCACATGGATGGAATATTTACTTTGGCTAACTGTATGCATGGTTGGATGGATAAATCAGAGATTCATGGATGTGAATTAGGGTGGCATGACGATTTTTTAACAATAGAAGATATTCAACTGGCGTGTTTTTTGTAAAGAATATTTTTTCAATGCTTCGATTTTTTTTAATTTTATTTAAGGACGTAGATTTTTAAAAGATTTTTTTCCGGACCAACACAAACCGTGGATTTTTGAAGAAAAATTCTCAAGGACCAACAGGAAACGTGGATTTTTTAAAGAATATTTTTTCAAGAACCAACACTAGGCGTGGATCTCTTAAAGAATATTTTTTCAAAAACCAACACTAGGCGTGGATTTCTTAAAGAACATTTTTCAAGAACCAACACTAGGCGTGGATTTCTTAAAGAATATTTTTCAAAAACCAACACTAGGCGTGGATTTTTTAAAAAATGGTCCAAAGCAAGGCGTGGATTTTTTAAAGATTATTTTTTTCAAGGACCAAACCAAGGCGTGGATATTTTAAAGAACATTTTTTCAAGGATCATCCCAGACGTGGATATTTTAAAGAACATTTTTTCAAGGACCAAACCAAGGCGTGGATATTTTAAAGAATATTTTTTTCAAGGACCTATAAAAGGCGTGGATATTTTAAAGAACATTTTTTCAAGGATCAAACCAAGGCGTGGATATTTTAAAGAATATTTTTTCAAGGACCAAACCAAGGCGTGGATTTTTTAAAGAATATTTTTTCAAGGACCAAACCAAGGGGTGGATTTTTTTAAAAATATTTTTTCAAGGACCAAACTAAGGCGTGGATTTTGTAAAGGATATTTTTTCAAGGACCAAACCAAGGCGTGGATTTTTTAAAGAATATTTTTTTCAAGGATCAACACAAGGTGTGGATTTTTTAAAGAATATTTTTTTCAAGGATCAACACAAGGCGTGGATTTTTTGAAGAATATTTTTCAAGAACCAACACTAGGCGTGGATTTCTTAAAGAATATTTTTCAAGAACCAACACTAGGCGTGGATTTTTTAAAGAATATTTTTTTCAAGGACCAAACCAAGGAAAATAAATAATAACATTTTCAGGCCCCATCTACCCTACTGTCCATAATATAGTTGATATACCTAAACCGGTAAAATGCTTGCCAGGTTGAACGATGTTACTTTTGACTCCATTCCGGTTTCCTCTCCGTCTTCTGCATCGTCCACGACGACGACGTTTGATTCGAGATGTAGTTAAGGTTCTTCTTTCGCTTTAACTGAATGGCAAACAATTTTTGCATATTTCATAGCTATCAAAAACTGACAGCACAACATGAAAATTAATGCAGGCTAGGTGGAGGAAAAAACATTCCAAAAATGTATGCCACGGAACATCAGGAAAATGCAACAGACAACAACAAGATGAAAAAACGCCGGACAAAAAAAAACGAATACATCGTACACATATCGGATGAAATACTCCTCGTAACAAGCTTCTGTACAAATAGGTAATATTACAACAACAACAAATGTGGATGAACAAAAAAGAACAAACAACATGACCAGTAGTACACCACCCACATCGCCCGATAAAAATAGAAAATGAAAAATGACCTTTGCCATCATGGATAGAACTCTGTTTTGGACCAAACGAAACAAAAAATATCATCATCATCATCAAATTTATTTGTACCGATCCAAAGATGTAACAGGGCAATTTATTACAGTTACATGGAAAATGTGCATGCGCATGTAGTCAATAATATTTGAAGAGGAAATATTTAATGAATTGATGAAATCTATGGCAAAAAAGGAATGTAAACGAAGAAAAAGAGTATATCCAGTTATATTATAGCCAATACATTTAAATTCATTTTGCAGTTCTGAGAATCAGAGAATTGTTTTTAATTGAAAAATGTGAAGTTTTTGTGTCCTCAATATCACCCACAGTGTTGTAAACACAATTGAACTTTAATGTTTAACTATGTGGAAATTTCATACATATAATCATAAATAACAAAAAGCATTCCATCCCACCTGCCCACTTACAACCCGTTTTTTTTATTTTTCTTAATTAAAAATCCATAAAACTTTATCCTCATCACTATTTCATTATCAAATGTTAGTTAATTTAAATTTTTGTTTCGAAATGTCACTCTCCGGACTCGTGCACTTAAATTAATTAATTCATTGACACACAGCGATGTTCTCCTTTGCGCCTAGCTGCCTTAAAGGACGTTTAATATTTTTAGCACTTTTGGTATTTTAATTAAACATCAAATCTACCCACAGCCCTCATTTTTAAATAACTACCGACTACACCTCCTCTTTTCTGCCTGCCAGTCAGCTTGTCATACCAAGCATTAACACCTTTTCTATACAATTACAGTGTACTAAATAAGCATAAAAAACAGTTAACCATTGTTACAATTCCAAGCGAAGTGAGTGAAGCGGAACTCCGCCCATTTTCAAAACTAAACACAATATCATCCGGAACAAAATTGAAAACACACAAAACATCGCGCTATCGTTAAAAATACAAAATACCAAAGAATTACGGGGTGCAAAAACCAATGGAATGACATGGTTGTTGTTACTATCGGTGATGATGCACAGTGGTATTTCAATGGAGAACATTTCTCGCAAAAGTAAAGAATTATCTTTTAAACTATTTTTCAAGCCCTTTCAGAAGACATGATTTTTATACCATTCACCACACTGTGGTACAGGGTATTATGTCTTTGTGCATATGTTTGACAGACAAAAATAATCGAGATAGACCCATGGTTCCTTTTGAGAGTATGCATAGAA